GAAAAATCTAATAATAATACAAAATTTTTAAAATAAAAATAATTTAAAAAACTAACCCTCAGTTGTTGATTTTTCATTTGTGGTCGTGAATGGCTGTGAGGGTGGCTCTGAGAGATGGAGATAGAGGGAGGTCACCGGATATGGGGACGGATGTCACCGGAGATGGGGACGGATGTCGTCGGAGAGAGTGAGAGATAAAGATGAGACTGAGTTGTGATTTAGGGTTTTAGGTTATGAGTTACGATTATACTGTTTACATTTGTGTTGCAAAATTAATATTGTGTTTCGAATTCGAAAATAAAATTCGCGTTGCGAAAATAAACGCGCTTTGTGAATTTGACTTCTGCGTTGCGAATTTATAAAATTGCATTGCGGAAAAGAAATTCGAGTTGTGAAATTGAAGTTCGCGTTGCGAATTTGTTGGTCATTTTCGCAAATCCAAAAAAAGTTGGTTAAAATCGTATATTATAAGGCATTTTCGGTCACTGAAGTTATTTTCTCTATTGTTTTTTAAGTTTAGTGCCTAATGTTTATTTTGTTTCAGTTTGGTATTTAATGTTTCATTCCGTTACTCAAACTGGGTTAAGCTGTGAAGGACCGTTAGTTTTCTCCGTTAAGTGACATATATCACAATATGATAATTTTGACATTTATATTTTTTTTAAAAATTATTATATTTATAAAAAAACCTTTATTTCTTTTAAATTACAAAAAAAACCCTTAAATCCCCAAATTCTAACACTAACCCTGCCGCCCTTTCCGGATACAATCACCGCCGCCGACGTAGTCCTTGTCATCATCATAGTTATAAGTCGATGTAGTTGTCGTTGATTGATCGTCGAAATCGCTTGGGATTACGATTTTCATCTTAGAGTTTGTGGGGTATAAAATGTCTATTCACCATTGATCAGTCACAATTTCATAGGGGTTTTGGTCGTCGAGAGTAGGTGGGGTCAAGTGGAGCTTCGTCGACAGAAAATGATAGCGGTCGATGTGGGTTTAGGGGTTGAAATGAAGGTTTTCAAAGTTTTGGGGTTATTTCAAAATTGAAGTGTTTCTTTTTTTAAAAAATATATTTTTAAAAATTTTAATTTTATATAAAAATTTTAAAATTATCAGATTGTGACACGTGTCACTTAACGGAAAAAATTAATGGATCATCACGACTTTATCCATTTTGAGTAACAAAATGAAACATTAGACATCAAATTGGAACAAGAAAAACGTAAGACACAAAATTGAAAAAACGGGTATAAACTGGGTGCCTTTTGTATATTTAAGCCTTATTTAATGTGTAAAGTAAATGTTAAAATATACTTCATTCAACCGGATTAAATAAAGGGTAAACCATTGGGATGTTCTCTTATATTTTTTGTCTGATCCATTTTAGTTACCGATTTAAAAAAAGAATAGTTTTGGTTCATTATGTTATCGTTCTATTCAATTTTAGTTCCTCGGCCGTTATTTCTGGTTAACCACTCAACGGAAGTGTTATCGGTTTTTAAAAAAATAATTTGAGTTCATTACGTTATCAGTCTGTTCAATTTTAGTTTCTCATTCGTTAATTCTGATTAACCACTCAACGGAAATGTTATATAAAAATTAAAAAAATAATCCTTCTTCTTCTTTCTAAAACGAGAGTCTGATTGTCGATCCAGCTCTTGGGGCCTGAGTTGAATTGGTAGGAGAATTAGGACCCTTTGGGTGCAGCTGAGCTAATGAATGTGGATTTAGAATCTAAGAGGGTCAAAAGGGATTCTAACCAATCACCACAAGAAGGAAAATCACATGCAACCACAAAAGATTGAATATCGACCACGGAGATGATCGAGAGGACCTTAGGACAGCCCCTTAAACTGTGCATCATTGTTTTCTTCGCTGATCTACAACGTTTGCAACGACCATCTGACACATCGAAAATAAAAAGTCTACGATCCACCATCAGCGCCTCGTGAACAAGGCCGACTATTAGGGATCCACCCTGAGCAACCGCTTAAGACTTCGATTTTTTATAAGGTCTCTATTTTACTATTATATTTTTATTTTTATAATCAAGTCCTTTCATTTTCTTTAGTTTTATTTTTTATACTTATAATTGAGGCTCATAATTTTTGTAATCTCACTTTTTATTTTTATAATTAGGATTATTAATTTTTTTAATTCCACTTTTTTATATTTATAATTGATGAACCTAATTTTATTTCAATCTCACATTTTACCTTTATAATTGATGTCTCTAGTTTTTTAATTCACTTTTTACCTTTTAAATTGAGGTCTCTAATTTTTTTCAATAATACTTTTTATTTTTATAATTCAAGGCCATAATTTAATACTTTTTTACGATTTATTAATACAATTTTAAATTAATCATTCAAAATAATAGAATATATTTTCATTTATAAAGGTTTATTTTTTAGTTTCGTTAAGGCCTAAAAAATATTTGAGATGGCTCTGCTCGTGAGCAGTGCTCCGACCGAACAAATGAACAGGAGGCAATGTGTGAAGACAAGAGAGAGAGCCACAATAAGGAAACTGACATTGGAGCACGATGTTACACAGATATCCATGAATACCCCGACCTCAGAGAATATGAGCCCAATGAGCCCACTTCAAACCATAACGTCTAAATGAATAGGGGATGGAGAAGACTCAACGAATTAAATTGAAATTCCAGTACGGCTCGTTACGTTGCATGAAATCACTAACAATTATTGGAGTGGCAAGGTTGTCAACATGAATGGTTTGGAGCAGGGTGACCCGGCGCAAAGTGCGCGATGGCGTAAGACCCCACAAAAATATGAGCCCCGAAATACTGCTGTAATGAACCAGACCTTTAACCTTTAGGGAACACGAAAACATCACCATTTTTAATATTGCTCATTAATATAATACATCATTGGATGCGGGCAGCGATCTGCTTTGAGTTCCGTGTGATTGCAGACAATGCGTTCCTTTGTCTGCCAATTACTACAATTCACTAGTAACCTAAACAGTGTGCTCCCATTTCCCCACTACTTTTTCTCTTCTTATTTACTTCACTTGAAACTTCATAAGCATTGATTATAGAAAATAGGGCTATTATAAGACTTTGTATAGGGCCCCATTATACCTAGCCACGGCCCTGGTTTGGAGAACGAAGGGTGAGAAGCCAACCCCAACGTTCACTATGAAATTGTGCATGACTGTTAATCCCAACAAGTTAATGGAACTCGAATTTAAATTCTTTAAGAGCAATAAAGATACTCCGTTAAATATAGGACATGTGTCTCCAAGACTATCATGAAGAATGTCTCATGACTAGAAGCATTTAGTTGCAAGAAGACAATAAAACGTGATATCGGTAGTAAATAAATTGTTATTATTCATTGAGATTCCGAGATCAAGCACCAATAAAAAATATTAGGAGCATGAATATTCAATATCAAATAGTTAAAAATTATTTGTGAACAAATATATAGGTAGATTTGCTTCCCAAAAGCCTCATTTTTATTCCCGACCAATCACAAACCGCATGCCTAGATAAAAAGTAGAAACCCCCCATTTTTATATGTAATATGTCCGACTCCCACACGAAAGATTGATTGAATCTGAATATCTAATATATATAATATGTTAATCTCGGATTTTATTTCTAGATAAATTCATCTCTTTCCTCGTAGAATTAAATTAAATTTTAATTTTAATTTTTCTGTAGGAAAAGAAGAAATTACTATAAATATAAGAAAATTCAATAATTCCTATTAAAAAATGATGTTTAGATTCAGACAGGCCTAATGCTTCACTTTTAGTTTTTTTTTTGGCTTTCTTCTTCACTTTCAGGAACATCGCCGCGGGAAACAATGGTTTTTTTACTGCAATTGATTTCTCTGTTGTGTGTTTCTTTTCTCATCTGTTACTTACAATATTGGTAAGAAAACATGTGTTTTGTTTTTTTGAATTAGTACAGATGGATCCGAGCAATGGGCCCTCGCATTACGTGAGGATCGGAAGAGAGAAAGATCCCGACGAAGACATCATCCCCGGCGAACTCAATGAACCTGTCACTGTTCCTCAGGTTATTGCTATTTTTTAGGGTAAACTATACGTGTAGTACCTAAACTATTATTTTTATCCTGTTTTGGTATCTAAACATTATTTTTTTTCAAAAGTATGCATAACATTTAGTTTAGGTTTCAATCATGACTTTTTTTTTTTAATTTTTTTTAATGATGATGTGATATTATCTTATAATGATACATCAATATCATTATTAAATTTTAACGATGGGTATCAAATTGAAGCTTAAACTAAATGTTAACTAATTCATAAAGAATAAAGTTTTGATATCATAATGAAAGAAAAATAATAGTTTAGGCAATAAACTTCCATTTTTTCTTAATCATCATTTCGTCGGATGTCGAATTCGAGACGAACGAGAGATTTTCTCGTTTAGGAATATGATATGATCCGACTTTAAATATAATAAAGATTCATGGGAAAAATTAAAAAAAATCTTTGCATATGATTTCAATTTGGATCAAGAAGAAAAAACTTATATTTATCTTTTTATTTTTTGGTTTTCTAATAGTAACATGACATATCTTACAAAATAATTTATGATTTTTTTTATTTTTTTAAAAAAATTAGAAATTAAAATTTTTAAAATTTTGAGGGTTAGATGTAAGAATCTGTTCAAAAACTTTCAATCATTTGAGATTGAACATTCATAATCATACATATGTGATTCACGAATCTAGGGCATCAAAGAATAACAATAAACCTTAACCATTAAAGTCGTTTAGTTCGTTCTATATCTATATATATATATATATATATATATTTATTTATATAAACATATTTACAGGTTCGCAGGGTTGAAGGTTTAAGAATTTAAATTAATACAAAGGTAACGTTGCACTTTGATCCCAATATCAAAGGTTCTATATCTATATATATCTATACAAAGGTTCGTAGGGTTCTATATCAATGCATTAAACATTAATAATCCTTTTTTCTTATCAATGTATGTTGTTGCAGCTCGAATGAGCATGTTTTGTCCGTATGTGTTGTTCGGACAAAACGTGGAAACTTTGAGAGAAGACGTAACGAGGAACGACGCATGCATGTGCTATGCAGTGTGCGTAGGAGGAATGGTGACTGCGGCAGCCACTCTCTTCTTCCATGGCATCGACCCCCAAACCTCGTTTCTCATCTGCGAGACACTCCTTTTTTCTTGGTGGTTGTGTGGTATCTACAATGGCTTGTTTCGTCAATCACTGCTGAAGAAATATCATCTCAAGGTATGTTTTCTTATCCATGGAATTAGGGTTAAGGGATAGTAGTCGGTCGGTTTGATTTAAAAAAGATAGTATCTACTGAGAATATTTATTAGCTATTGACAACGTATATACATTCTACATACGTAATTGCTCAAACTCGAGACTTCTAGAAAAACCAACACCCTTTCTACTACTGAGGTTGCTTAATGAGTTCGCACTAAATCAATTTTAAATGTTAAGCTTTAACCATTTTTTAGATATTTCTTCAACATGACATTTTTAAAAATATCACTTGACAATCAAAAGATATGAACTGGTAAAATTTTAAAATGTAAGGGTTTAGTTTTGATGCAAAAATATTTAGGAATTTAATTATTTTATTTAAAAAATTCGAAGGTTAAAATAAATTAAATATTCGTTTACAAATTTATATATGTCAAAGGTATTATACAATTTTAAAATTTAAAATATAATCATCATATTTTAATTTTCAAAACTCTGAATTTGGGTAAAGTACATAAATGATCCTCCGTCGACTACAGGATATTACATTGTTGAGTTCTCTAATCATTAAAAGTTATAAAATGGTCTCTCGATTATAGGGTGTTACTTTATTGAGTCCCCAAATTATTAAAAGTTACAAAATGGTCACCCGACTAGTCATATGTTCTTAACTTGTCCTTTTCCGTTAAAAATTTTACTGTAGTTTGAGCTGGACGTTAACATGTTGACTAGGATATGCTAAGATCTGATCTAAGAATCTCAAACGACTATCATATCTTAGTTAGCATGTTAACGTCCAGCTCAGACGACCGTCAATTTTTTACCGTAAAAGGACGAGTTTGAAACATATGAATAGTTAGGTGATCAATTTGTAACTTTTAATAGTTGAGAGACTCAACAAAGCTTTCCTTATAGTCCAGGGACCATTTGTATACTTTATCCAACTATTTTTTTAAAATTTTTAATCTTTTTATCTCCCGATTGCATGTGTGCGTGTGGTGTTTTATGTAGAACTCGCCATGCAATCCTTGCCTGGTTCACTGCTGCTTGCATTGGTGTGCACTGTGCCAAGAACATCGAGAGATGAAGAACCATAAAAACGATAACACTGAAACGCCGATCACCATTATTAAGCCTCCTCCTGTTCAAGAAATGAACACCGCCATCACTACTACCGCCGATGAAGATAATCGGAAAGAGGATCAGCCAACTGCTTCATCTTCGTCGCCAAAGTCTCCATCGGCGGTGAAGGATCAACAAATTGCAGAGTTGGAAATACATCCGCTGTAGTGTTTTTCTTTTGTAAGCATTGAATTCATTGATTAAAGACATGGATTTTTTTAATTATATTTTTGTCTAGAAAATACTTGTAGTGACTCTTTTTCAATTATCACTTTTCATTAAAATAAAAAATTATTATCTCAATATGATTGCAAATAAAAAAACTAAATTGTAAATACATAGAGTATTTGGATGAGAAATTTCGAGGAAATTTATTTTTATCAAAAGTTTTTAGAGTAAAGTACACAAATGGTCCCCGACTATAGGGTATTATTTTATTGAGTCTCCCGACTATTAAAAGTTATAAAATGATCCTCCGACTATAAGGTGTTATTTTGTTAAGTCTCCCGACTATTAAAAGTTACAAAATAGTCACCCGACTATTCATATCCGTTAAAAAAAATCGAAAACTGACAACTCCGTAAAAAGACTGTGTTTTTAGTCTTTTTACTTAAATTATTGTTTGCCTAAACATTGTTGTCATAGCATATTAGTTGCATTTAGGTCATATTTGCATGTGGTGGATAAGTTTTGTCTAGACAAGATTTATTTGGCTTAACTGATGCTGCTGAGGAGAAAGGACTTTTGTGGGTTGTGTGTGTGCAAGAAATGACTTAGGAAGAACATTTCAACCGTGACAAAACATTTCGCAAGGGCTAGTGGAATATAGAAGACGAAGACAGTGAGGAACAAATTTTTCTTACCAAGGCAAGATTTATCTAACAAGTCTGAAGCGAATCTGACAAACTGCTGATGTCACCTGCTAGCTGTCTGATTTACCTAACGTGCAATCAAACCCTTCAAGAAAGTGATTACTTCTAGCCACCTTTTTATATATAACATGGACAAGTCAACACAATTATTTAGGGAATATTCAATGACACAAAACCCTAGAAATTCCCATTATAAATACCCTATTATAGTCGCCCAGAAAAGGAGGCAAGGAGTAAGCAGCTACAGTACCTTACCTTTCATCGTTCCCCAACTCAACCGTCCTTGGTGCCTTCCATAGCCATACTATAGCAGAGCGACAGTCAGGCCTCGAGAGAGGCTGGCTGCCAGAGCAGGCGTGGTATTGGTCAGAGCTGTCATGGCAGAGCCCCTGTTTGGAAGTCATTCTTCCTTTGTTCTTAATTTCTTTAATCTATTTTGGGCGTGTACTTAAAGATGATATTTTTTGGATGATACTTTTGCCTCACCATGATTTGTTTTACTTGGTGTTGGTGTTTGTTTTGTCGAGATAATTATTTGATGGTTAATGAATGATGCATTATGATTTTGCTTAGTCTATTTTGTTCATTGTTTTAATATTTTGCCTTGACACTGTAAGAGCTTTCGAGAGATTGCCTAGTACCTAGGCGAAACATTTCTAGACCTTGTAAGAGCTTTCGAGTGATTGTTATTTTTTTATAAATTGATTCTTAGATTCAAGAGAATTAAGATAAATCTACGTTTACAATGGAATAGATCCGGGATGGTGAAGTTCTAACCCACCTTAGAGATAAGGAGAGGGTTTCAATCTACTAAAAGGGATAAACGCTTGAGTAGGATAAACAACGACTATAGTTCACGTTGAGGGGTATTGCTGCAACAATAATCTGACAAACCAAGGGTTGTAGTTCACGCCGAGTAGTATTGCCATAGCAACCGTTCTAGAATACTCCAGTAATCCTGTCGGGCAGCCTAAGCATATCACAACAAATCCTTCCAGACTTAGAATAATTTCTCGCCATAGCAAAACCAACCTAAGTGCTCTGTGAAAAGTCTGAATATGTGAGGTTATTCTGAATATATTTGAACCAACGTTTTTATTTGGCTTGGCTATTTTTATTTGTTACTCTTGCATATTTTCTTTTCCTCGACCAAGCTTTTCTGCAACCACACTTCACAATATTCTCTTGCTTCAGCAATACTTTGCCACATGTTCATATAACCCATTACTAATTATTTCTTCATTTTGATAAGAATTCAGGGACTAGCTAGTGACACCTAGTTCTAGTTGTGGTGAAACATCAAAATCCCTATCAATACCTGAGGAGAAGATAACTCACTTACCTTTTATTACTTGATTCGACTGTGTACACTTGCACAGATTTGCTTGCCTTAGCATATACATTTACAAGCGATCAAAAACCGTCTGAGTTGGACGTTAACATTCTCACTGGGATGTGGTAAAAATATGATTCCAGAACTATTTGAGCTATATTTTATGGATCAAGTGTAACATCCCAAAAGTCGGGTCAGTGACTAAAATGTAAATTTTAGAAACTTTGTGCTCAATTTTGAAATAAGTTAAAAGTTTTGGGATTTAAGTAAAGAATTTTGATGATGGATTAAATAGCATAGATGGATAATTAAAGGGGCAATTTAGTCTTTTCAGCTTAAAGGATATTTTGTGTTTTCTTTAAATAAGAGTTGTACACGTGGGTTTTGGGAGATTTCTGGAAGCCTTCTTCTTACTCTCTTCTTCTTCTCGTAGCTCCAGCTTAAAGGTAAGTTTGATTTTTAACTGTTAATTTCTGGAATTTATAAGTTGGTTTTGAATCTTTGGGGGTTATATAAGCTTAAGGAAAGCTTGTATAAACTTAAAACATCAAGAAGAGAGAATTAGAAAGGAATTTCTATTAAAAGATTAGAAATGAACTTTTGATATAGAAAGGTTTTTGAAATTCTAAGGATGAATTTGACTTGTCAATGGTTAAATTAAGAGATTTGGAGTGATAGAATTGGATTTAGAACATATAGAAAATTTGGTATGATTCTTGAATCTCATAAAGAAGATAGGATTTTGAGGTTAAAGATGATTTACATGGATATAAGTTGGTTCAAGTTATAGTAGTTGAGTTTAATGTCATAAGAGGGGCTTAAAATAGAAGAATTAATGGAAGAGTTGATGATTTACGTGCTAAAATGTCAGTTCTGGGCAATGTGCATCGATGCACATTCATTGTGCACCGATGCATCGATGATAAATACCAGAAATTGTTTAAGGTGCATCGATGCACATGCAGTGCATCGATGCATGAATTTAAATAGAAAACATCGAATAGGATTTATGCATCGATGCATAAGGAGTGCATCGATGCATCCCTATTAAATACAAACATCGAATAGGATTTATGCATCGATGCATGGTGTAGTGCATCGATGCATACCTTCATTAAAAGATGAAATTGGCTTTTCTTTGAGACTAAGGAGTGATAGTTTCGAATATATCAATTAGTATAGTGATAAGTATCAATGAATTACTATGTAGATATCGAGCCTAAACGAGTTCCGGAATCATTGACAAGTAAGATCGATAAAAAGGGAAGATAAGAGATTGGAATGGACTAGTGAGGCCAGGTGAGTGCATACTAGTGATATGTAGTGTTTAATGGAAATAAGACTTGCGATGAGTCTATTTCCTAGAGTAATATGCATGAAGTCATGGACATGATTATGTGTGGTTATAATTATATGTGATTATCTGTATTACATTGATTGTATGTATGCATGACTAAAGATAAGGATATGCTTAGTATATGCTATATGATGTATGTAAGACTTTAATATGTAATAATGAAAGAACATGAAATAAGTTATATGACAGAGTCATAAGAAATGAAATGAATATGAGAGAATAAGATAATCAAGTATAAGTTATATGATATGGTATAAGTAATTATACGAGAAATGTTAGGAGACTCTAAGAGAATAGTATGAATTCGAGGGCATAAATAAGGATACATAAGTAATATAGGGAAGATTGATAAATTAAAGGAAACTATGGTTTATGTATTATAGTGAAGAGCTACAAAGTTTTATTAAAGAGTATTGGGGAAGTCATGAGAAATTGAACTAGATAAATAGATGGTTTATGTGAGTGGAAAAGGAAAATGATATAAAATAAATGGAAATTATTTATAAGATAGTATGAGACTAATTGAACATGTAATATAAACTTTATAAAGGAGTACTTGGGTAAAATCATTATATGATACAATTATAGATTATTACTATACAAATTATATTAAAATATGATATATGAGAATATGAGTAAGTTTATAGGATATTGAGAGGACATATAAGAATATTTAAATGTAAGCTGATATGAAAAAGGGAATACAAAGAAATGGAGCATAAGGTAGATAATATGATATCAGTTATTATATATCTATATGATATATGTCATCAGATAATATGAAAGGACTCTGAAAATTGATATAAGCTACGTGAAAGTGTTCTAGGTGTTTCTATATGTTATATGAAGTATATGATCTTATGTGAACAAGATATGATAAGTATGTTTACATGAATAAATGTGATTGGGTGAGAAATGATAGACATTATATGAAAACATGATATATGTGACATGTGAATTATATGGAAATGATCTACGTGTAAGTGAACTATGTGACTATGTGATAATATGAAAAGAAGCTATGTGATACGTGATATGTGAAAGTGAATTACAAGTTTATGTGAATATTTGAAATGAAATAAATGATAACGCCCATGTTATGTGTCATGAGAGCTAGGGGTATAATTGGCATGCCAAGAGTCGAGGGTCTACGCGGTCCTTCAGGATATATATATATTCTGTGGAACATGTGTGAAGTCTTGAAAGACACATACTTTATCTCTATTATATGTATATGATTCTTAAGGAATAATATGTGGTCCTTATGGACATTATTATATGGCACTACGGTGCAATTCTACGCGGTCCTTCGGGATATATATATATTCTGTGGAACATGTGTGAAGTCTTGAAAGACACATACTTGATCCCTAGTATATGTATATGATTCTTAAGGAATAATATGTGGTCCTTATGGACATTATTATATGGCACTACGGTGCAATTCTACGCGGCACTTCGGTGCAATTATACGAGCTGTGGTGACAGCATTAGTGCACAACCTCTATAGACTCACATATCGATAGTTCTCACATATGTACATGGGCTAATCCAGAGATATGAACAAATATATGTTAGTGGTATGATAAATGTTATAGAAATGATA